AAATGGACGCAAAAAAGCAAGTTTGGGAAGAATACATCAAAAATCTATTTTCAGACAACAACAGATCAATTTTACCTGATATAACAACAGAAAATCTAACAGGTCAACCAATCATGAAAAGGGAAATTGAACAAGCCATCAAGTTGGCCAAAGATAATAAATCTACGGGCCCTGATGAAGTCCCAGCTGAAATAATAGAACTAATAAATGAAGAAAACTTGGGAATATTAGTAAAGTTGTTCAATAAAATATATGACACAGGAGTATACCCCAATGATTGGCTAAAATCGACCTTCATCACCTTGCCAAAGAAAACCAACGCGAAAAAGTGTGCAGAATATAGGCTTATCAGTCTAATGAGCCATACCCTGAAAATATTTCTTAAAGTCATCCAGAACAGAATATATAAAAAATGTGAAACAGCCATGGGAAAGTCTCAATTTGGTTTCAGAGCAGGAATGGGCACACGTGAAGCTTTATTTTGTACAAAAGTTTTGGTAGAAAATTGTAAAGATGTGCAAAAGGATGTATTTATTTGCTTCATAGACTTTGAAAAGGCCTTTGACAGGGTACAGCACGATAAATTGATCGAAATCTTGCAAACCATTGACACCACTACTTTTTAATATCTATTCAGAGCACATATTTAAGGAAGCACTCAACGATGTAGATGAGGGTATCAAAGTAAACGGTATCAATATTAACAACATAAGATACGCTGATGATACAACTTTGATAGCAGGAAGCTTAGAGGGTTTGCAAACGTTGATAAATAAAGTAAACCACCACAGTAAGCAATTCGGTCTACTCATCAACATCGACCAAACAAAATATATGATAGTGAGTAGGAAAAACACATTCAACAATACAAATCTTACTATAGAAAACAAGACATTAGAAAGAGTGGCCAAGTTCAAATATCTTGGATGCTGGCTTAACGAAAATTGGGGCTCTTCAGATGAAATTAGATGCAGGATTGAAGTTGCTAGAGCCATGTTCTTTAAATACAAAAAAGTGCTTTGCAACCATGATCTCAATTTAACACTGAAAGTCAGATTCATAAAATGTTACATATGGTCAGTGTTGTTGTATGCAATGGAAGTATGGACTCTGAAAGTGGATGATATGAATAGAATTGAAGCTTTCGAGATGTGGTTATACCGAAGAATTCTGAAAATTCCTTGGACAGATAAAGTGCCCAATGTTGAAGTGCTGAGAAGAGTCAACAGAAAGCGTGAATTACTTACAACCATCAAGCGCCGAAAAACAGCATACTTGGGACATATTATGAGAAATGAGAAGTATCACCAACTACAACTGATAATACAGGGCAAAATCCATGGAAAAAGAGGAATTGGTAGAAAATAAATATCGTGGCTCAGAAATATTAGAAATTGGACAGGCTTAAGAAATATAACGGAATTGATGACATCAGCAAAAGACAGAACAACGTTTAAAGGAATAATAAACAACATTGCATAAGTCAAGTAGATGGCCAACATTCGAAATCGAATAGGCAGAAGAAGAAGAAGAATTTTACTTTAAGTAAATTTGAAACCAATATCATGGGAAAATTATGAATTGTATAAAGGCATAAAATTGCTTACTAGTCTATCTCTGTGGGTTTATAAAATAATTAATTTTAAGTAGTATAATTTTTGTGTAAATAGGTCAGATTTTTAATAAATAAATTAATTAACTTTAAACCAAGCAACAAGAAGTTTTTCAATTAAACCATATAACACCGCCCCTAAATGATTTTTTGAAAATACCCCTACGTGTAAAAGTTTAATGCAATAAAATAACATTTTTTATTTACAAAGAAATACGGTGCATAAATCAGACATAATATCTAAAAATTATACACATACTCGTAGCCAAAAATGAAAGCATAGAGATTTAAAGCAAACACTTAAATAACTAAAATTATATTCATAGGAAACTTAGAAACTAAAAGAAGTAAAAAAGAAAAAAAGATGAAAAAAAGAAAAAAGCAGTAATATATACATATGAACTAATAAGTTTATAACTATTTATAATAAAAGTATAAAAGTATCATATTAAGCTATGATGTTAGAAATTAGCTTGCATAATGTGTCACGCTGTTTCCTATGATTTTCTCTTCTCAATGATGAAGGGAGAGTATTGAAAAGGATGGTGGTTCTGGCAAATAATGATAGGTGCCTTCGACGGGTAGAATGCCAAGGAATTTCGTACATCGGTGATTTGGTCGATCTACCTTTTCTAATTTTAGAAGATAATAGTAAGTTAAGCCGGGTAACAACCTTCAATTACCCTATTGAAAAATTTTATGTAACGAAAATTTAAAAAGTTGTCAAAACTGCACTCAAGAAGAAGAGTATTTTTGTCAAAGATTTTATTGAATTTCCCCCTGTTTATAGCAAATCTAGTGCAAGCATTAAGGACTCCGTTAAACTTGATAAATTTATAAAGAACCACTGAGGAAAATACAGCATCGCAGTAGAAAAAGTGAAGAAATATAAGAGAATTCACTAGTCTTATTTTAGTTTCCTGCAAGAAGACCGAAGAAAGTTGTCGAAGGATTCGTAAGTTTATGTATTCCTTGGGTAATATAAAGTTTATATGGTTGTGTTAATCAGACTTGCTGTTGAAAATCACCCCTAGGTTTCTAACCTTCGCTGAAAATAAATAACAGCACCATTAACAGTAATAAATTAATTGGGCAGTTCCAAAAATTAATTTATATACAATATTTATACTACCAAAAGTAAATAAAAATTACCCCATAAAAAGTAGTAACATTTTGTAAAAAATTGTCACGAAGCATCTTGGGGGGGTAGGTAAAATTCTTGCCTTTCCTAGGAACCTACTGGTAAAACCATATTTAATGTCCTTTGTCCCATGTCTCTAGCCCTTCTAGAAGTACCCATACTTTTTGACACCACAGAAGTGTTATATATATTTAATGTAAAATAGAATGGTTTTTAAAGATTTATACAAAATATGGATAAAACAAAGAATTAGAAAGGTCAATTCAAGATACTGTCGTTTTTTTTTAAGATTTTTGTTTTATTACCGACCGTATTGTGTAAACAATAGGTAGGTTATGTGATGGCAACAAATTTTGCATATCGAGTTTTCGGTAGGAACGTACTTCTCCATAGTAGGGAAGTGTAAATAAACTATTTTTAGCAACCTGTCGGTCTGTCGGTCTGTCGGTCTGTCGGTCTGTCGGTCTGTCGGTCTGTCGGTCTGTCGGTCTGTGTGTGCACGCGTGTATCTCAAGTTCGGCTGAACCGATTTTGATGAAATTTTATATGTAAGTTTATTTCCACCATGGCACGGATTTTGGTATATATCAGGCCTCGGGAACTGCACTTTTTAGCGGGCCTGTTTTACATTTTTGAGCATATTGAAGAACATATTCAACCGATTTACTTGAAATTTCATATATAAGTTTTGCTCTACCGGCGATAAAACCTCCTAACTTTTGGAAGAAATCAGGCGTCAGCAACTGGACGTTTACTACGGGCCAAATATACATTTTTGTGTATATAAAGAGAAATAATCAACCGATTTCATTGAAATTTAATATTTGAATTCCTTGTATTAAAACAATGAACATGTAAATTTTTTGGAAAGATCAGGGCTCGAAAACTGATCTGCGGGCCGATTTTACATTTTTCACCATATCTACGGAACGAATTGATGGAGTTTCTTGAAATTTGATATTTGAGTTCTGATTGTTACCGAAACTAAATGGCGAGCGTTTCAGGGAATTCGGGTAGCACAAAGCGAAACTCTACTAAGAGCCAAATTTACATTTTTCTAGGTATGTTAACTATAAGCTTACTAATGTCCTAAAAATTGGAAAGAAGTATTTAAAAGACATTTTTATAATATTCTGTAACACTTTCACTTAACTAGACAATACACATTGCGGTCGGTTATGTGCTGACCACATCAGATTTTTTTTTTATATATAATAGCTAAATATTGTTTTAAAAGTTTTTTTAATTTTTTTCATCCCCACAATTTTGTGTGAAGGTTTTAGAAACTTGTTAAACAAAATTGAAACTTATTGTAAATTTTTTTTGTTACAGAATTCTGGCCACATCCCTGTGCTTTAAAAACCTGTTCATTTGAAGCTCATACTTTTTTCGGAAGGAAAGTTATAAGTAAAAAAGCTTGGCAAGTAAAAATCTCGTAAAACTTCGTTAAAATCTCTGTATCTTGGAAACCTTTGGGTTTTGACAACTACTTGCGAACAAAAATTTTACCCATTTTTGATGCCCTAAACAATGATATATAATATTGTAAATTTGCTACGGTATAAAAAAAAACAAACAAAAGAAAAAATGGCAAGCTTTCCAACTGAAATTCTCATATTTAGGCCACTAATCAAAAACAGTGTAACTCGACAACAGTAGGTCTGGCATGAAGCGTTAATATTATTTGTTCTATCAAGCTCTATCAAGTAGGAAAAAAAAATACGAACAACAAAATTTTGGTATAACAACTGTTATGGATATTTTTTATTTTGACCTTCTTCAAAACGTTTAGGGCAGACTTCCCACATGAACAATTTTTTTATAAATTACTTCAAGAGGGCTTTCACCCCAGTGGCTTTCACCATCTTGTGTATTAATAAACCATTCTACAGTAATAAATACTTTAATGACCAATACTTTAATGGTGGACGTCATATATTTTGCAAGGTGACATAAATACATTTTCAATATATAAAATAATACTTTAAATTAAAATTGTCCACCGATTTTGAGATTGCACGCCGAAATAGGAAAAATGCTAAATATGATGAAACCTTTAACTAAGGACACAAAAAGTTTTGAACATATAATGCCAAAAACTAAACTGTTCGATAAAATTCTTAAAGTATTATTTACATCGCAATTTGTAACTGGTAGGTAGTTAAAAGGCATGTTCAAACAATACATAAAAATACACTTTGATGTATTTATTGTGTTATATATAAACTTATAAAAAATTAAACTCACAATTTCCAATAAAGCTTATGCCATTCTGTGGTGTCTTTTGACTCCTTAAAGTAAAACTGTCTCACACCAATCAAACAGCCATCCATAAATTCAGACCAATCAAAATGACTGCAATCGAATGTATAACGCTTTTGATCATTTTCGTTCATAGTCGCCATTATTCTTAGAGCATTTTTTAAAGAGTAGCGAAAATCTTTATTTAAAAAGTAATCAAAATGCTTCGATCCTTTGTCAAACACTTGCATGTATTCTAGAACTCTAAAAAGCAAACAAATTCAGAGTTTGGTTTGTTTAAAATATTCTTGCATAACTTACGTATGGTGTGTCATTCCACAGTTGAATAATTTTTCAGGTATATAGTAAAGTAGTGATGGTAAAATTTGAAACAAATAAAAGAATAAAGCATAACGCCAGCCTGTTCTTAGTTCTGTGTGAGGTTTCCATACAAAGTAATCCGTTGGATGCCTTTCAACACTTTCGTTTAATATTTCGGCGAATTGTTGCAAATTTAATGGGTTAACTTCTCCTGAAGTACAATGCACTACTTCCGGCTTTTTCAGTTTTCTAGTACCAACATACCATGCCATTGTCATTACCGAATTTATTACATAGTCACAAGGTATTATATCAACTGGCGCACTGGGTATGCCACTCATAGTTCGAAAAACTCCCTTCACAAAACCAGCTAAAAATCCTAAATGACCACTATTGGCATTGCCAACCCATCCCCTAATGGGATGTTTCCAGGTGCCATATACTGAAATGTAAAATTGATTACGCAATTTACTTATTGTTGTATATTTTATTACAACTAAATGGGCCTGATAAAATCCAAAAGATATAAAGGCCAATAAAAAAACCTTTAAATAATAATTTTAACCAAGTTTTTCAATTCCTAAGTAAATATTATATAAATTAACCATAACTTACTAAAACTGGTTTTTTATTAAATACGTTTCATGTCAATTAGATACCTACCGATAGACGGTCTAACAATAGCCGCTGGTAGTCCTGGCATTTCAGATATCATCAAATTTTCTGCCAAATTTTTCGTGAATGTATAAGTGTTTGGATGATCTCGTAAAATTCCTCTTAATTTTTCAGATGAAAAATTTTCCCAAACTTTGTCATCTTCGCCCATTTTTATCATTTCATAGGGATCCCAAAATGACTTATATACACATTCATCTTTCAAACCACGAGTATTGCTATTGCAAAAAGCTGTCGATAAATATATATAAGCTGATAAAGTTTTTAACCGCTTGGCAAATTCAATTGTTCTTAAGGTTCCCGTTAAATTAGTTTTAATTGAAGTTCGTAGTGGGGAACTGAATCTAATTGTTGCTGCACTGTGAAATATAATGTTTACTTTGCTAAGTAATTCGGTTAACAACTCGTCTTTGAACCCAAAATTGGGTTCACTCAATTCGCCAACAATTGGCACTACTTTAGCTAAAGTTTTTTTATTGTGATGATCGAAAATCTAAAACGTAAAAAAGTTTAAATCCTAAATTGATAACTTTGCAATAACGCTGTGTACTAACTGGCTTTGACAACATACGATTGATCCGTTCCTGCGGATCGAAACCTCTTTTACCTCTGACTAGTACATAAATTATTCCAACATCTTCATGTGCACTCAATAATGCTTCAATTAACACTGTTCCTAGAAAACCTGTACCACCAGTTATGAACATGTTTTTTTTTGCAAAAAATTGTGACACAGAAATTTGGTTACTTTGGTTTTCTGCAACTTCTTTTTCGGTTATTATTGCCATCTTTTCACCCTATTGCATTGAAAAAATACAATTAATATGCATGATAAAAATATAAGCATAAATATAAAAATATAAGACTAAATTATTATAGGAAAATTTCAAATTGACGAGGTATGGGAGATAGGAAAGTTCATTCAAGTTTCAGAAAAGGCCATTTACAAGACCGTGATCAAAATCATAGTATAACTATAACTAACGGTAAAATCACAAGTTACGTATAATTAGTAAATGTATACCTATGTGTAAAGAATTTTAAAAATAAAACTGCAGTTAAAACTTTTTTGTGAATAACAACTGAATACTAATTTAGTGTAAGTTATTCTATTAATACTTGTAAACGAATAATAAGTAGTTAATAGCAGTTAATAAAGGTAAAAATAAATTGTATTGTTAAGGTGGTATTTTATTAAACCATTGATCATTTTCGTTTACTTAAATTGAATTAGTTTAACACATTAAATTTTTAAATTAATTTAACAACTGAACTGCATAACATTTAATTAACTATTTTAAACTAAATTAATATGGTTTTTCGGTTGTTATAATGTACATAATTACATACGTTTATAAGAAAATTCATAAAATATGGATATTGCTTTTAATTTTGATTTTCTATTAGACTAATATAAATAATATAAAAATAATTTCTTTATTCGAATTAACATTGCTTCAACACTCGCTGCCCTTCATCAATGATGAAACATGTTGTTGCAGTTAACTTATTGGAGGCAGATTGCTATCAAACAAATCTGCGAAGCAATAAAGTTGCTTAAATCGAATACAATAAGGCCCCAGGGTTTGACTAAGTTACTAAGGAGATTGCCACTATGACATCCCTATTGGAACCCATCTTGTCGTGGTGGCGGTGCTTAACTAGAATCAATGAATTTGAGCGGTTCAACCATGCCAATAACGTCGAGAGGGAGATCCGAAAACTAAGAGGGTCCAATACACTTAATGGAAATGTCGTCCAAGAAGGAAGTACTGCGGATAAATACAAGTGTCATCTGGTATACTGACGACTACTTAGCCCCAGGAAGGGTTAAATCGCCAGTGAAACTGAGCTTCGAGGTGGAAATTGGCCAAGGCCAATTTGAAGATCCCCAAGGAAAACGAATAACGGCCACCGAATGGAACACGGACGAGGGGATGCGAATTTTATCAGTCTTCATCGTTCACATGGATTCTGTGTGAGAACGCCTGTAAGATTAGCTTGAAGTCCAACTCATGAGAGGTCAGTAGGGAGAGGTCCTGCTCTAGTTTTGGGATAGGAAGGTGATGCTAACAACAGCATCATTAGTACGACTGAACCTGATTCTTTAGTAGGGATGGAAGGATCAGCCTTGAAAATTGTTGAGGAAGGCTTCGGCAGAATCAACCCTTTTACAGGTACAGAATCCAGGAACTGGTGGCGGGATGTCAGAAGCAAGCTCCGGAGCGCAAGGAGTGGGCTTCAGCGACTGTCGATGAAGGATCCAACAGAATTTAGTTCCTGGGAAAAGGAGCAGATAATAGAGGCTAAGGCTATCGTCGACTCGAAGGTGATTCAAAGGGTCGCCAAACAGCCAAGGTTAGAGCCAAAGCGCCAGGAGGACGTTGCTTTGGGCCCTTCGAGTACCGATGCGCTTACGGGGGCTAAGAAGAGGAAGGCTCTTTGCAGATTTGGATTTGCATGTCGTTCGTCTCTGGCGAAAAGGTATTGAGGCTCCTGGCTGCGCAGAACCGGACCCTGGATGCGGAAGACTTAACCGGACTAAAGGAGATAATGGGGAAGGAACGAGGCCAACACTTTTTGTTGAGCATTAACCGGGGCTCACTCTCGCATATTGAACAGAATGCGGGAAAGGCCACGTTCAGTTCACGTTCAGCTGAGGTTTGTGTGAAGTGGTGGAAGCAACGATGATGCAGGTGATGGCCTGTGGTAATATTATAGAGCATATAAGCGCTAATAACATGGGAAAGGTAGGGTACAAGGTCTGAGACTATTCCTTGAACCTCAAAACTGTAGCAAGTGAAATAAGTTCACGTATTTTGGTAAAGAATGATCTAAAACTATATCTTTTGAACACTTTCAGTGATGACGATACGAAGGCTGTGAGGTAAGAAAGAAGGAAGACCGATAGGCCTCTTTAATCCTACATAAACCCCCTGGTTTCATCCTACATGCCTTATGAGAGTGAGGATCCGCCGCTGGAAAAATTAAGGGGAGCCATTGTGGCCTTTTAGGAATCCTACAAGGGCCAACTGGGTGAGATACGCGGAGAGACCCTCATTGTGATCTAGTGAAATTAATGAATGTAGAAGAATAGTGAGGTGGCTGCAAAATGCCGCAAAAAGGAGCAACAGTCCATCCAGGTGGAATGCTTACAAGAAAGGACTGAGGTTCTATAAATATGCTATGAGGAAGGCAAAGAGGAAATCCTGGACCGTAAACGATTTGACAAGATTAAGGAACTGGTGACGCCAACCTACATTAAGCAGCGAAGGTTTTGGTCGGCGCGCGCTTCGGTCTGCAGAACCGGAGTTGCGTGACCGAAGAACAATTATTGGAACTGCGGGGCTTGGCGGGGGCTTTGATTACGAGAGCTGCAATCAAATAGGCTGTTGAGCCTTTTGCTCCTTACAAGGCACCTGGACCGCATGGAGTTCGCCCGATTTATGTTACAGAGTACACCCGAATCATCATCAAATGGTTGGTGGTAACAGCTGCTTATGTCCGGGTTATTTGCCTAAGGAATGGGGAGAAACGAGCGCTGTTTTCATACCGAAACCTGGAAGAAGTGAGTATTTTGAGGCTAAAGATTTTATCCAATAAGTCTAGCCTTGTTCGTGCACAAAACTATGCAGACCCGAGTTAGACATGCTATGACTAGCGGGAATCTTTCGTGCAAGCAACAACCGTACAGGAGAGGAAGCTCTGTGGAGACTTCGTTACACGCGATGGTGTCACAGATAGAAACGTCGTTGCAATATAAGGAGTATGCATTGGCGGCTTTTGTGGACATAGAGTTTGCTTTTAACAACGTCAGTATTGAGGGAATTGTGCACTGGATAGGAAAACTGTTGCTTTCTAGAATGGTGACTACTGCCTAGGACTCTAGTAAGACTAAGGTAAGAGTATCCAGGGCACGCTGCGGGGCGGCGTTTTGTCGCCATGTCTTTGGGCAATGATTTTGATGCGGCTGTGTTGCGCTTAGCTGAGAGCGCGCGCTACTCCGGTGTGGCGCTGGATAGCAAGCTATCTTGGGGCAAAAATACGGAGGAGAGAGCAAACAGTCCTACTTCTGCGACCTTTGTTTGTAGATCACACTGATTTTATACATGTGACTTATTTTGACGTATGAGGTGCTGGTATGGTGGCCGGCGATGTGCCGATCTGGGGAGCTCAAGAGGCTTAAAGAGTTACAGAGGTTGGCATGAGTGACAGGGCACTCAGGGTTGACGCCAACCAAGATGTCTTACTTGAGATGGATATGGTGGATGAATGGGTGAAGAATGTGACCGGTAAGAGGGCTTTGATACTTCATGCGGCAGGCTTTTTAAAGCCAGAACGTCAGGTGTCTACGGTATGGACGTCAGGGGAACTGATTATTCGATTCCGGTGGTCGACTTTCCTCTGGGGTACGATATAGTGATTCCGGAGAAGGAGTATTGGAGGTAGGCTCCCGATGCCTACACTGGTTCTAAGACATTCAGTGGGACCGAAGCGGGAATATTCTATGAGGAAATGTGGTTGAAGCTACCTGTTAGGCTGCCAGACTTCAATAGTTTGCGGTGCCAGGTATAGGTGTTTGCGGTGGCCAGGGCCGCCAAGATGGCGTTCACGAACGGTGTGTCGGCTGGGGCAATCACCATTTACCTGAATAGCAGAGCGGCTCTTCGGACACTGAGTTCCTGCACCGTCAAACCTTGAGTTGGCGAGATCAGGGGCGGCGCTCTAGGACACTAAAAGAAGGGGAGGCTTCCTTTGGTGTGGCGGGCGGAATTGTGCAAAAACAACAGTCCTATGGCCAAAAGAGTAGTGCAAGAACGAGGAAGCTGCTGGCTCTGAGCGAGGAGGATCTCAGGATTGCGTAGGAATCCTGATGGGACAATCTTTATTGGGAAAGATGGGTAGGGACTTGACAATTGAGATAATTGAGAAAATAAGGAACTGCGACTTTCGATTATTTTTAACTTAAAATGATTTATTCCACCAGATAATTGAGAAAATAAGGAATTGCGACTTTCGATTATTTTTAACTTAAAATGATTTATTACACCATACAATGAAAATAAATTATTTCATTCTTTTAATATAATTAAATCATAATTTTTTTAATATTATTGCATTGACAGCAATAAAAGCAAATATCGAATAAATAGACTTTTAAATTTAAGAATTAATGAAAAATTAGTATCCGAAAGATAAATTTTTTATGCAACGTTATTATAATAAAAATTTGTTGTCTTATAATTCTAATGACATTTTAAAAATAAATATACAGCTATATAAAAAATAAATTAGCAAAAAATATTCCAACATATTTACGCTTCCAGTGCACGACTGCGTGCCCGAGTGTAATAAAACAAAATGTTGTTTTATTAATGCATAACACATTTTGTTAGGAAATCCAAATGTTTATAATTTGCAAGGGTTTTCAATAATTGGTACATCTGGGAATAAAAATATTTTGTTATACTTTTTATTACACATTTCCGTGAGATGAAAATTTCTTCGATTTTCAAATATTTATTATATTTTTGTTATTTCGAAGGAAGTATTTTTGACAAAGACAGTTATTTATTGTTATTTTTAAATGTGCTAATTTGGAAATTGTTAAATAATGTAAAAATTTTTCAACATAAATTTTATTCACGCTTAATAAATGTATGTTAAAAATTTTGAAACTTGCTAGGAGAACTGAAATGATTGTAGCGGATGTTAGAGGTATTGCATTATATTTGAAATTAACATGACGGATTGAAAGTGTTTTAAAACATAGAAATTATAGAAAAACATAGTTATTTGGCATTATCTCAGAAATTATTGGAGCTATAATGTAGAGATTTCGTAAAAACAAGTGGGTTTTTGGGACATTTATGAATGATAAAAATGGTGGAAATTTCTTGACTCCTTGCGAAAGCTGAAATATAACTTCAATAGCAGTTTGGCCATATCTTAAAAAATAGTGAAAATACAGTATTGAAAATTTGCATACGGCGGTAATACGGCAACTTAAACTTATAATCTGTCCCACAGTCAGTTATGGCATATATAATAAGAAATTTTTACGGGTATTCCAGAGTTGACCGTATTTTTTCTTGTTCAAAATGTTTTTTTAGCCGGTCTACGTCATAGTGAAATTGGTGAATTTGTTGTATTGTATATGTCTGATAGACTAAATTCTAATAGGTAATTTTTTTCTGATAGACAAAAATCATTATTGAAGTCATCTCGATTCAAATACGTTCAGCAAACACTCCAACAGAACTTTTCATTACGAAAAAATTCTTTAGGAAATCCATTAGAAAATGAAGAGAGGAAACCAGATGACGTATCGGAAACATCAATAGTACATAACCAGGAGTTCCCATGGCAAAAAATACTTATTCCGAAAAGAATTTGATCGCCAGAAGACACACAGCCTGCAAAGGTCTCTAAAAGAAACAAAAGAGCAACTCAACCAAAACAGACCATAGCCGTAAAGGCAACATCTATGAGGAATGAAAATAGGTATGAAATTCTAGGAGAAGATGGCGATAGTGATGCAAGTGAAACAATTGAGCGCAAAAATGAAAAAATAAAAAAGATAAAAATTTCTAAACCACCACCAATTATCCTTTACGGAATAGAAGATCCTACGAAGTACATAGTTACAAAAGAAGATTATACCTATAAAGTATAATCTAATTTAATTTCCAAAATTTCAATCGGAATCATTCGTGAAAAAGGATTGATTGGACATACATTCACTAGAAAAGATGAAAGATGTCCAAAAATAGTAATAAAACACTTACATTCTTCAACACCTCATGAAGAAATTACCAAAGCAATTGAAAACACTGGTAACACAGTAAAAGGACAGATTGTCTGCCCCCGAAAAAGATGTACTAAAGAGCCACTTAACACCTTCTTTGTTAATATTGAACCCCATCACAACAATAAATTGGTGAAAGATATCAAATATATTTACCATCAAAGTGTGAAAATTGAAGATCCAAGAAGAAAAACTACTATTGTTTAATGCGTTAGATGTCAACAATATGGACACACTAAAAGTAATTGTATGACACCACATAGATGTGTAAAATGTGCCAGCCCTCATAAAACCACGGAATGCCTGAAAACTAAAGATACTCCAGCTAAGTGCTACCTTTGTCTATACAACCTTCCCGCAAATTACAAAGGATGCTCGATCTACAAAGAGATCCTAAATAGAAAAACACAAAAAGATAGTGTACAAAGGAGTAACTTACCTAAAGCAAAAATTGCTAAGCCAAGAAACGATGAAACTCATATAGAAGAAAATGGTAACCAAATGCCGCCTAAAATGCAGACAACACAAAAAATGTGATGTTGCCAATATTCCAAAATATAGCTACACAAATTAACTCAAACGAACTTTCTTTCGACGGCAGCAAGTCGTAGCCAAACCAAAATTTAAACTTTTTAGTTGTCAAACAAACTGAAAAAATAGATCAATTAATGCCACAGATCGTTGTATTAATATATTTAATTACAACACTTGTAAGCAAATTACAATGACGCAAAATTTTAGAATTGCCATCTGGATCATAAATGGGCTATGTCCAAATAAAGACGAATTAGAAATTATATTAAAAAATAACAAAATCGATATCATACTCATCTCAGAAACACATCTTAAAAAAGGAAAAAATTTCAAACTCGATGGCTATGAAGTTTATTACACAAACCACCCAGACGGTACTTCACATGGTTGAAGTGCTATAATAATTAAAAAAAGAATTGAACATTACCCCCATAGCAAATTCAAGAAGGAGTATCTACAAGCGACTACAATAACAATTGTCCACAAGTATAGTTCAGTTAATGTAAGTGCGGTATACTTGCCACCCCGACATGCGGTTAATGAAGATAAATTTGCTAGGATAATGAAGATAATGTGCTTACTTTAACACCCTAGGTAGTAGATTTATATGTGGCGGGCATTGGAACAGTAAACATGTGTCTTTGGGCTCAAGATTAACAACTATGAAAGGCCGTGAGCTAAGAAAGTGTATTGACAAATATAAACTTGATACCCTGTCAACTAGAGAGCCAACTTATTGGCCATCGGATCCGAAAAAAACGCCAGATTTATTGAACTTCTTTGTTCATAAAGAAAACCCTTATCCATTCAGTCATATTGAGTTCTGTTTCGACGGTAGTTCTGATCACACACCAGTAATCGGTACGTTTAGCTCAACATTAATAAACAAATCACCGCAAATGAGGACATACAATCATAAGACAGACCGGAATTGTTTTAGAAAATATTTGAATGAACGCGTAGATCTAAACATATCTCTAAGAACAAATTCGGATGTCGATGATGCAGCTATATACATCACAAATATGATTCAAGAAGTTGGATGGCGCTCCACACCTAATCTATACCCAGAAAAAAAATGTAATAATTCCGATTGAAATAAGAAATAAAATATCAAAAAAAAAAGTCTCAGAAGACGCTGGCATACAATAGGTCCTCAAAGTAGCTCAAAGCAAAAGTTTCATCTCAGAATACACAAACAAAACATTTAATGAAAATATATCTAGTCTGCCAGCAACTAAAACAAATAACTACTAATTTTGGAAAGTAACTAAGAATATTAAACGACCGCAGCAAACAATACCACCATTAAGAACTGCAGCCGGTGGATGGGCCAAAAGTCCTACCGAAAAGGCAGAAGTATTTGCAGAGTATCTTTACAAAGTATTTCAACCTAAAGGCTCACCTGGTTAAACCATATTAAATGCAAAAAGAAAGAATGTTCTCTACAATGGAAATCCTTATACTGGCTGGTCGGAAGAAGTTCAGTTTTATCGCTAAATAATAAACTTCTTGTATACAATCAAATACTTAAACCAATTTGGACTTTTGGAATAGAATTGTGGGGCTCTGCTAGCAATTCCAATGTTGAAATATTACAAAAACATCAAAATATGGTACTAAGAGCAATTGCGAATTCTCCTTAGTTCACTAAAAACACAGAAATACATGAATATTTCAAAATGCCTTCTATAAAAGATGAAATACGAAGTCACTGCAGAAAATATAAAACAAAATTAGAAAATCAATTAGCCAAAAAACTGACAGACACAAGTCTAAAACGATGGCAAATACTTAATCGAGATAACAGAAACTAAACTGTGAAGTAAAAATGTAATTTTGTAAAACATGTAAAGATTTAAATTGTAATTAAAGATGGCAGATCAATTGGACGCTATCTTACATGTGATATATTTTAACATTAACATAACATTTAATTATAACTAGAATAAGTCGATTGTAAATAGAAAATATAACAATAAAAAAAAAAAATGTCTGATAGACTTCTTTTTGTTAAAGTTTATTTTCCTGATTTTCATAGAAATTGTTCTAGTATGGAAAAATAATGTCTTGTTGCGAGTTAATGTATATGGTGATATTTTTACTTTGGTTAGAAATTTCGTAGCTTATCATAATATTTTGTATGTCATATTCTGCTATTAAATTCGCATTTGTTTTGGTTAGTACGTCTAATTTACATTTGATTTCTATTTCTTCATTGTAGTCCATGGTGCCAGATATATATTTAAGTCCCGTCCCTAAAATATTAATGAGATAACGCTTCTGTTTTTGATGCGGTCTTATATTATTTATTTTTTGTTCTAGTAAATTGTAGTTGTATAGAAGTGTACTGTACTTTAAGTTTGTTTGGTCTTTTATTGAGAGGATATTTTTGTAGATTTAGTTTCTTGTGTTTATGTACTCAATAATTTTAATAGCATGTAAAATTTTTCTATAATTTTTTATGATTTTTACGTCCTCTAACTTTATCGTTATTAAGTCATTATTTTCATTTAGATTTTCTAGTTTTATTGATTGGTAATGTGCTTGAGACAGTTGTAGAAGCACAAGCGGTAGGTGCCTGCAGCATCTTGCCCCGAAGAAAAATTAGGTTTACTTTTGTCTCTTGTTCTTTTATTTTTTTGTTTTTGATAGGTGACTTAATATTTTAAAATTTCTTTTTCTTTTTAAAGTAGGTCTTATACTATTTCATATCGAATTATGTCTTTTACGTGGTCGTTATCGATTTTTTTGATTTCGATCTCTCTAAGTTTTGAGTGGTTTTTACCTCTCAAAATTTAAAAAGATCTTTGACTTGCGTGAGTTCTTGGTTCTATTTCTATTCTTTGTCTGTTTTTGTTTAGAGAGTTTATAGACTTTTCGTTTTTTTCAGTATTCTATTTTGGATTTCTACGTAATGTGCGTCCGTAATTTTGCCTTTTAGGAAATCAATTGGTTTGACACTTGTGGTCGAATAAATTGTGTTGTTATAGGCGTCATAAAAATGCAGCCTCTCGATCTTGTAGTTACTTGTGCAGTAGGTTTCAGTTTATCGGTCATTTAAAAATTTCTTAAATGGGAAGACTTTCATCCCCAACTCGTTATCAACGACCGGCTATTGAAGGGTTTATTTTAATATTGCTCTGTTAAATTGCAGCCAAGTGTGTGACTTTAATTTAATTAAAAAACCGTCAATGTGAACTATTTGATCGGAAACTAAATGTGTTGCTGTAACTTTAAGCTTTGGTTTCGGAGGACTTCTAACTCAATTTCTCAATGTTACAAATTTCATACTTATTCATGAACTGCGATATCCTATCATAAAGTTTTGAATGATAATAATTTATATGCATCTCTTTAAAAATATTCATAGTTCCTCTATGTTGTGTCTGAGATGCTTCTCTTCTATCAACTTGACTAGGTTTTCTTCGTCGGTAACGTCTTGTAGCATTCTATTACAATGTACTTATAATTTTTGATTTAAAGAAAATGTTTCTTGTGGACAATTCGGAGCGTTTTGAGAAAATTTGGGTCTTCTACATATATTGCGTTCAATAATTTCGTTAAAATGCTGTTGAAATAGGGTTGTTGCAATTTCTCTGTCTAATTTTTCTCTACTTATAATTTTCCTACACATACTAAGAATTTCAAAATTTTTTATTTTTAGAGGTTCTAAATTGGATTTATGATTATTTGCCTTTTAAATACATTTAATGTAGATTAACTTGTATGGGAATTGGTCTCGTTAATGTCCTCGGTTAAATTTATGTCTATACGTGATAGTGTGTCAGTGTTTCCGTTCTGTACACCTTTTTTATACTTAATCCCATAATCGAATTCCGACAGTTTTAAACAGCACCTTTCAACCTTTGAATTTGGTGCATTTATCGAAAGAGGTAATTATTATGGCTTGTGGTTTGTTTTTGTAATGAATATACGTACAAATATAAATGGGTGAAAGTATTATATAAAAGTTCTTTTTCGATCGTGCTCATACAGCGTATCGTTTTCGTAACATACCAAATGCCCCTCTTGAGGGAGTACGGCGTCCAAAGCGTACTCAACAATATTTTTAGCAATTCAAAGCTGGGCTTATGTTCCGGGTCATTAACATTAATTTTAGAATTTCTTTTAAGATATTTTGTATTGGGATTGGCTATTTTGGAATAATCCTTTATAAATTTCCTATAAGAGCCCGTCGATCCAAGAGACTGCTTTAATTTTTTCGGAGTCTTTGTATTGTAAACTCCCTAATGTACTTTATTTACTGTACATTTCGGGTTCGACGTTATCTTCTCCAAAGTAGTAATATGCCCTACGTACTCTGTCTCTTTTCTAAAGAATTCTGACTTGTCCAGCTGTATCATTAAATTCACTTCTTTCAGTCTTTTGAAATTTTAGTCAAAGAATCTTATACGTTCTTTAAGTGAAGAAGAAAAAATTATATTGTCACCCATTTGTAGAAGACAGATTTTGTTAATGTAATTTCTCAAAATAAAATTTATTAATATACGAAAAGTTGCTAGAGTTGTTTTCAGCCGAATGGCACACGTGCGAACCTATAGTGCTCGTCTTCGACACTAAAAGCCATCTCATGGACTTCCTTTTCATTAATTTCTATTTGATGATTCCTTTAGCAAGATCCAGAGTCGTGAGAATCCAGATTTCCGAGTATGTCATTTATGCTGCATAGTTATCAATATTGAAATTTGCCTTAACTTTGTAATTTTCTACACTACAAAATCCTTCACAAAGAGTCACGATGTTGTCTAAGTTTTAGACAATTATCGGAATTAGTAATTTGCGATTCCATTTTATTTTTAAGTTATAACTAAAATTCTCCAGTTCGTGACAGAAATGTAATTTTATGTTCCTATGTTTTATAAAAAAAAAGTTTTTTTTTTCATTCTATTGTCGTTTGTAGTGGTGATATAATGTTGTTTCCTATTATTACGCCGTAAGTTTTATGGAAGGGAAATTCATAAAATTCTACTTTTATTTTTGGGTCTCCGGGTTCCTTAAATAATAGATAGTTTCTTTTT